TTATCTGTAGGAGTGACTTCTAGAAGTCACTTAGTGACTTCTCGAAGTCACTCGCCCCGCGCGCGCACAGTACGTGCTCTAGCGGCCGGCCCGTGCACCGTGCGAGCCCCCGCGGACTCGGCCCCAGTCGGGCCGCGATGGGAGAGGCTCCTGGAGCAGCTTGCGCGGGTTCAAACGGATCTGTTTTCTCCTTTATCGGCGAACTTCTCGATTGGTCCCTCGCGGCGGCGCGAGAGTCGCACACGGCGCTGCCTACGCACCGCTACGCGATGGCACTCAAGCGCCGCAACCCCGGCGACCCGCAGGCACCCACTGCTGAGCCGGAGGCTGACTGGTCGAGGCGGATGACCTCGTGTTGGCTCTCCCACGTGCCGCCGCCGCTTCTCGCGGACCGCTGGTTCGGCTCGGAGGCAGTGGACGAGAGGACCACCGCAATCCTCGGCACACCGCGGCCGACGCTGTTTGCGCTCCCACGCAAGCCCGTGCGCGCTGGTATCCAAGTCGACTGCACGCGTAGCTGCGCGACGCCGCCGACCGGAGCCTCTCAATAACCAATGCGCACTTTCCGGCATCGACTACATGGACCGTCTGCGCGAGCTCGATGCGCCGTGCGTCGATTGAAGCGGACCGCCCTCGGCGGATGGCGCCTGTGCTTGTGTTAGTTGTGCTGTAGATAGGCGTACTGATCAGTGATGGAGTTTAGGAGCACCTCTATCTTGTGCGGTCTGCCACGCACGGAGCCCTAAGCACTTCCAAGAACCGACCCTCGCTGCGGCACGCCCGTGACCGCGCAGCCACACGTGACACGAGGCTCCAGTTCATTGCTCTAGATCGACGGGGAGGAATGCCACTCGCCGTCAGAATCGTAGTGCGAGGTGTAGCGCTCCGGGCGCGGCCCTGTACGCTTGCCGCTCTTGTGCATCCCGGGCGTGCGTTGTGCGGCGGGGCGTTTGCGAGGGGACCTGCGTGGACCCGGCGGTGTTGCTGGCGTGCCCGTGCCTGCGATGGCAGACGGGCTAGTACAAAAAAAGTGTTGGCGTGCGTTCCTGTGTAGAACGTGTGCGAAGTATGAAACGTATGGCGCGCCGCCGATCGACGACGCCGCGGCGCGACTCGAGGAAGTGGAGTGTGTCATGCGCGGGTTGGCGGCGGGGCGCACGCCCACCTGGCGAGGCCTGATGAGGCTTGTCCGTCGACCTGCCCGACCGCGTCGTCACCATCTTTGCATGCACGCAGTGGACCAGTCACAACTTGCGGCCTGCATCAACTTCTGCGATTGGTCGCCGGCGTTGGCAGATGTCAAAGAGGAAGAGGCCGGCCCAGGCCCCAGCGCAGGCAGAGGAAGGGATGGCGGCTCAACCGGCGGCCGCGCCCTTCGGGCTGCCGCAGCCGATGATGATGCCTCATCTGGCCGGCGGCGCCGCCGGCCCGAGCGGCGCCAATGCGGCGATGGATCACTTTGCTGCGATGGTGCAGCCCGGCTACCAGCCACCAGCACGCGCTCCGGCTGCGGCACCGGCTGCGGCTGCGGCGCCGGCTGGCGCTCCTGCTGGCGCCAGGAGGCGCCCCTCGGGCGCAGCAGCACCGGCTGCTGCGCCCGGCGGCGGACGCAATGCGGCGGCTGATGACGGCGACGGCGAGTCAGACCCCGAGTACGAGCTGGAGGAGGAGCACGACGACGGCGACGTCCCTCAGGAGGACACAGTCGGGTGGCAGCGCGACGACAAGTACCAGATCTCGCAGCGCGTAAAGAGCCTTGGGCAAGAAGCAGAGTCATCCCCACGTCTCGAGTTTGGCTACGAGGGCAAGGGCATCTTCGAGTTTGCCAAGGAGATGCTGCCGATGGAGTTCATCGATGCGCTGGCGGCCGAGATGGACGCAATCGGGAAGGCCAAGCACGTCGACGGCATCTCCGACTACAAGAACTGGGCTGTGACTCGCGACGACGTCCTGCAGTGGATCGGCGTCTGGCTATACCGGCTCGCGTATCCCACGCAGGGCGGCGTCGAGGCGTACTTCAACCCGCCCGCGGGCGGCTTCGGCCCAACGCACAACCTCGCGCAGTGGCTCAAGGTTGGGTGCCCGAGCAAAGACCGAGGCATCTTCTGGTTCAAACAGATGCAGGCGTGCTTTCGGCTGCCGACGTACAGCAGGCCTGCCGACCCGTTTGACAAGACGCGTCGCTTTTGGGACGCCCTGCGCGACGCGTTCAAGAAGGCCGTCACGGCCGGCTGGGTCATCTGCGTGGATGAGAGCATGGTCAAGTGGCTCGGCCGCACATGCCCGGCTTCATGCACGTGCAGCGGAAGCCGACGCCCAAGGGGCTCGAGCTGCACACCGTCTGCTGCGGCATCTCGGGCGTGATGGTATGGTTCGAGGTGTACGAGGGGAAGGAGGCGATGACCAAGAAGGAGTACTGCGCGGAGATGAAGGCCAAGCTAAAGGACGGGCCGTGGAAGAGCGTCGCGCTCACTGCCCGGATCACGATGCCGTGGCACGGGACGGGGAGAGTGATTGTCGCGGATAGCTGGTTTGGCTCGGTGCCCTGCATCACGGAGCTCTTTGAGCGGGGCCTCTTTGCGGTGATGATGGTCAAGACGGCGCACAAGGGGTACCCAAAGAAGTCACTCCTCGCGCTGCTCGGGTACGACGAGAAGAAGAAGCTGTGCCCCAAGGATAGGCGGGGAGAACGCTTCGCCTTCACGCGCACCTGCAATGCCGGTAACAAGACGTGCGAGGTGCTCGCGGCCGCGCACAACTCAAAGAAGCCGGTGCTGCTCGTCTCGACCGCGTCAAACATGCTACCCGCGGCGGACTACGTGAAGAAGTGGACCACGTACGACACCGCCGGCAACCCACAAGTGCACGAGATTCGCGTCCCGACCACCAAGGTGCACGCGCTCTACCACGCCAACTTCCACCATGTGGACGTCCACAACCACCTCCGTCAGGGAGTGTGTGCCATGGCCGACGTCTGGGACACCAAGCAGTGGCCGCACCGCCACTTTGCCGAGGGCATCGGGTTCTGGGAGGTCAATGTCTTCAAGGCGCTCACACACTTCCACCCGGACTTTGCGCGCCTGCAACACCCCGAGTACCGCTGCCGGCTCGCGCACGCGATGCTCACTCTTGGCACGGCACCGTGGGGTCAGCCTGCGAACGCGGGCGCGGCGGCGGGGCCGTCGGCTAGCCACACCTACTGCACGCTCGAACGGTTCAAGACGGAGGGCAAGCACGAGTCTGAGAAGCACCAGTGCGGGTACTGCAAGGCGCGGTCCTACCACTACTGCGCAAAGTGCTTCCCGGACCCGAGCCAGGTTGGCTACGCGATCTGCAGCCCGGTCGGGACCAGAGCTGGCGTTGGTAACCGGCCCTGCTTTGCCAAGCACCTGCTCAAAGAGGAGCCGGCGCGTCGGGCGCAGCAGCGCCCCCCGCCGCGACGCGGCGATCGACCATCGCCGTTCCGGCGGCCTGAGCCTGCGCCTGCGCCGGCGGCGGCGGCGCCGGCCGCCGCGGCGCCCACGCCGCGGCGCCCCGGGCGCGGCGCGCGCAGCTAGAGGTGAGAGGGGGTGCGTGGCGAGTGTGCGGCGGCCGGAGGGCGCGTCAGACGACCGCGAGGGCGGCCCACATGCGGAGTGACTTCTAGAAGTCACCCCGTTTCGGGCGTCTCACCGGCGTACTTGAGGTGCTTCCGACGGACGCAGTGGGCTGTCGGTGAGGTAGGTGAGTGTCTAGGGGTCGTCTCTGGGATGGTTAGCCTTGATTTTGATCAAAGATCGGCGCAAGAAACGGTGGCGATGCCTCGTGTGAACGCTGTGAAGAGTGACTTCTCGAAGTCACTAGGTCCTACGGAGAGACTTGGCTCTCTGTGCTAGTCCATGGACGCCACTTCGCTCTCGATCTCACAGCTCAAGGCCGAGCTGGCGCGGCGCGGCATCAGCATCGACGGCTGCGTGGAGAAGCGCGAGCTCGTCCATCTCTTGCAGGACGCGGCGGCGCCAGCGAGCAAGCGGCGGCGGCCGTCGCCAGAGAAAGCGCCAGAGCCGCCGCCCTCGCCACCACCTCCGCCGCCGGCCGCCTCCCACGAGGCGTGCGTCAAGCGCCGGCTCGTCGACGCGCTGCCGCGCTCCTACCTCCCAAAGGAGCCAGACCCGGAGCGGCTCTTCGAGCCGCACTCTGCACCGCCGCTGCACGCAGGCGCGACCCTCCGCGTCGCGACCTGGAACCTCCTCGAGACCGTCAGCGGGCCCAACGACCCGCGCGGCATGCATGCCGTCTTTGACTTGCGCCGAGTCAACGTGCTCCGGCTGCTGCTCGCGCTCGACGCAGACGTCGTTCTGCTGCAGGAGCTCTAGCTGCCCGCCACACACGCCCTGGCACGGAATGCGGGCCCACACACCACCACACACGCACGCACGCACGCACGCACACACGCACGCACGCACGCACACACGCACGCACACACACACGCACACACGCACACACGCACACACGCACACACGCACACACGCACACACGCACACACGCACACACGCACACACGCACACACGCACACACGCACACACGCACACACGCACACACGCACACACGCACACACGCACACACGCACACACGCACACACGCACACACGCACACACGCACACACGCACACGCACTCCGACACAAACCGGAGGCACACCGCCACTCGGTCCGGGCTGCCGGACACACGCAGGAGCTCTGCGAGGCGAGCCGCTCCTTCCTCCGCGCCGTCCTGCCCTCGCACACGCTGGTCGGCCACTTCCTCCTCCGCACCGCCCCCTCGGAGAGGGGCGTCTGGCTCGAGCCGCTCGAGGAGCAGGGCAGGCACAAGCCCCGTCGGCAGCCAGAGCCGTCGCTGAGCCGCCGGACCCTTCCTCCGCGTAGGAGGCCGAGAGGCACGTGCTCGTTGGCCACGGCCCGCTCCCGCCCCGCCCCGCCGCCCGCTGCTGCCAGGCACAGCCTTCGCCGACCCGTCTCGCGGCATGGCCATAGGCCCGACCGGCCCGCCCCGCAAGCCGCTCGCAAAGCAGACAGGTCCGCGCGGCCGCGTCGCCCACCTGCCGGTGGCGCGATGGCGGGGGACACAGGACGGCATCGCTCGCTAGGTCCGCGCGGCTACGTCGCCCACTTGGTGGTGCGCGTGCGCGGGCTGGCGGCCGAGCGGGAGGCGGGGGAGGCGGAGGCGGAGGCGGAGGCGCCTCGGCTGGCGCTCGCGTCGACGCACTTGGCGGCCAACACAGATATGATATGAAACACACGCATCCAGAGATAACGCACCGCACACCTCCTCAGACGGGAATGCGGGGCACGCCGTCGCCTCTTCACGCGCCTCGCCGTGCGCAGGCCAACTTTACAAACGGGCAGATGGACAAGACGGACAAGGAGGCGCGTCTCTTCCTTGCCACGCTCGGCCGCCAGCTGCTGCGCCTCCCCGCCAAGCACCGCTGCTGCCTTGCCGCCGGGACGCGCAGCGAGCGGCCCGCCCTGAGCCCGGGCTTGGAGCGCCTAGGCACCGCGCGCCGCTGCTGCTTGGAGGAGATTTCAACGCCGGCAAGCACGGGACCGGCAGCTTGCACGACCTGCTCACCGGCAGGCGCGGGCACGTGCTCTGAACTGCTCTCTCTACCCCCCCCCCCCCTCTCTCTCTCTCTCTCTCTCTCTCTCTCTCTCTCTCTCTCCCTCTCCCTCTCCCTCTCTCTCTCCCTCTCTCTCTCTCTCTCTCTCTCTCTCTCTCTCTCTCTCTCCCTCCCTCCCTCTCTCTCCCTCCCTCTCCCTCCCTCCCTCTCTCTCTCCCTCCCCCCCTCGCGTGCGTGCATGTCCGTACTCCTCCTTCACCTCTCTGCCTCACCGGCAAGGCGCCCCCCCGAGCCGTACGACTCTGAGGACGAGTGGCCGGGCGACGAGGGAGAGCTGCGCTGGCCGCCCGACACGCAGCGCGCGCCCGTCCGCCTCGCGAGAGACTTGTGGCGCGCGAGATGCGCCGAGATGCGCCGAGATGCGCTTTGATGCGCCGTGATGCGCCGACACTCACCGAGGATTGGCCGAGGTTGGCCGAGGATCGGCCGAGGTTGGCCGAGGGCCGCGAGAGACGTGTCTCCCGACGGGGAGGGCAGCGGGCCTGGGACGCACGTCCGTGACGTGTCCTCGGCCCCTCCCTCGGCCCGCAGGAGAGATCCGCCCGAGGAGGAGCGGTACTTCGGTCGAGATTAGCCGAGATGGGCCGAGATGAGCCGAGGAGAGACCCGCCCGGAGCAGCGGAGGGAGCGGCTCCTCGATCGCCTTTGTTGCAGCGCGGCTCGACCCCCCATCCCGAGGCGCGCTTCACACACACCCCTCGCCGTGGACAGGCGGGTTGCAGCGCGGCTCGACCGCCATACAGTACGCGCAGCAGCAGGAGCCGGGCCAGGGGCTGAGGGCGCGCGCGCGGCGCCAGGGGTGGGCCGAAGGCGGCGCCTGCACCGACAGCGGCACGTCGCCTCGCTGCTCGCCGCGCACGAGGGGCGAACAGCGTCTCCTTCACAGCTCTAGGGTGTGAGCAGGCCACATCGACTGGCTGCTCGCCGCGCACGAGTTTGCAAAGGGGCAGCCGCTCCTGCGCGCGCTGCGGGTCGGCGTGGCGACAGAGATGATGGCGCCGCCCCGCCCGCCCTGCCGCGGCAGCCGGCGTGAGCTGTGGACGCCGTCCCCTCACGCCTCCCCCCGTGAGTAGGTGCCGCCCCTCCCGCCGCGGCAGCCGTCCGAGGTGCCCTCGCTGCCGCCGGGCGGCTGCATCTTCCCGTCGGACCACTACCCCGTCTTCGCCGACGTGCAGCTGGTGCCGCACGGGTGAGCGGGGGATCTCAGCAGCGGCAGAGCGAGGGGGGAGGCGTGAATTCTTTTTAGGTTGAACTCTTTGAATTCTTTTTAGTTTCAAATGGACGCCAATGGACGCATAATTACGACGGAAAGTATTCTCCACTTCCGATTTCGTCGGAAAGCGACCCACCGCGCGGTTTGGTTTTGTAGGTTTGTTGTTGGCAAAGCAAGACACAGCGCTCACACAAAATCACAATGGGCGGAAAAGCGAACGAGTCACTTAACAGGGGTCGATTGGGGCGGGCCGCCACCCTGTCCAGAGGCGGAGGGAGGTGCCTTTCTGGTTTGGTTGCAGTGACAGGTTTCATCAGAGCCAGGCAGTTTACAACCGAGAGAACACACAACAACGAACCTAACGACACAGTACAACGACTCGGGCAAATTCATTCCACAGTATGAGCGCGTTCTGGAAGGTCGGTTGTTTTGTTTCGGAGTTTACCGTACCTATCAAGCAGTCCCTCGGCCAAGTTCTAGGAGAGGCGCGCGGCGAATTTTCCTGCGCCCATGTCGACTGTCAGCCTCGCGCTCCGCGTGGCTGCGCTGGCGATCGCAGCTCTTGGGGCAGAAGACGCCGACGATACTACGAATGGAAATGGCGCAGGCCCCTTTGGTCTGGCGGCATTCTTGGCCGCCCTCAATCAGAACGACCCGCCTGACCCAAACTCGTACTATGACCCGTTTGACTATTTGGGCATCGACTTTGATAGTGTCACCGAAAACACGTACTCATACTACCCGATTGATGGCCCGGTTATCATACACCCCGATGCTGGCATCCCCTGCCGCTGCGTCTCTGAAAGCGACCCATTTAGCGGTGCCGGTGCTGGGTCATCAGACGTAAGAGTGGACACGTTCGGCTGCAACTGGCATGTGGATCAGGAGCGCTACTACTGCTACGTGCGCGAGTCGTGCGAAGGGAGGATCCCTTCGACCATCATTCCCGGCGCTCTCTACATCTTTGATTGCGACCCCGATCAATCCAGCTCGAGCGCCGATCCGTCCCTGCCCCCGCCCTCACCCTTGCCAGCGGCCGAACCCTCGCCCTCGCCCGACCCGTTTGGCGACCTCGTTGATGACTTTTTTGGCGACCTCGACCTCGACTATCTCTACACCATGATTCCTCCCTCCTCCCCGCCAGCTCCGCCCTTGCCGCCAGTCCCGCCCGCCCCACCGCCGCTGGAGCTGCTGATGGCACAAAACCCTGGCCCATTTGTCATCGGCCCGTGCTCCCTCACTCGCGGAGGCCTTTGCGCCTCCAGCCCAAGATTCCCCGCCGAGTACTCCCATGGCAACGAGTGCATCATCGCAAACGTCGCGGCGGTGCCGCTGACGGCGCTCGCGTTCAACGTGGAGGGCCCAATCGCAGATGACGACCTGTTCCACTGGAATCACTACGGCATCGAGGACCAATGGGGAGAGCCCGGCGCCGGCTGTGTGTACGACTACCTCACCATCGATGGGGTCAAGTTCTGCGGCACCACAGGCCCGGACGGTGTCGTCCCCATCGAGAGAGTAATTCGGTGGAGGGCCGACAGCTCTACTGGTGGCTCCCCTGGCAACGGTGCGATTGGCTGGGAGATATGCTGGTCTTCGGACGTGCCTCCTGCCCCCCCGCCCGCGCCGTACCCGCCTCTCCCGTCTCCGCCATTAATGTACCCCTCTCCCTCGCTGCCTCCGTCTGCTGTCACCGTGGCGCGGTCCACAGACGAGCTGAGGGCCGCCGTTGATGCAGCCGTCTCGACCGGTGAGAACGCTTTGATTGAGCTGGACCAGCCGCTCTTCGACCTCGGCGGCGAGCAGATCACCTGCGACGCCCCCATCACCATCGAGATGAGAAGCGCCAGCGATGCAGGTGCCGTCACCGCCAGGCGCGAGTGGAAGCCAAGCCCGCCTCTTCTGACGCGCCGGTCCTTGCGCAGGCGCCATCATCGACGCCGGGCGCGAGTCGCGCCACTTCAACATCAAGAACGGCTGCTCGCTGGTGTTGCGGCGCCTCTCCCTTGTAAATGGCAGGGTGGACATAACCACACCTGGTTCCGATTGCCCCTTGACGGGATGGATCAACCCCTGCTCGCAACTTGCGGCCAATGAGGCGAAGAGCATGAGTGACGTTCCCATCGTCCCTCCCAACTGCGGTGGGGGTTGCGGCGGCGGCTCCATCATGGCCTCGGGCGGTGGGTCTCTACTCCTGGAGTCCACCACAATCTCGAACTGTGAAGCGGTGTCGTCAAACGGCGGCGCCATCAACGCGGACGGCATGAGCGACGTGACTTTTCGCGACTCAAGCATCAACTTCTGCTCCGCAGAGCATGTGCGCTGGCCTCGCCCCGCACGCAATCATCCCTTTCGTGCCCCCCGCCCCCCTACAACCCCCCCCCCCTCCTCCCTTCCCTCACCTGCTCCTTGCCTCCCCGTTCCCCAGATGGGCGGCGCAATCAAGATCGGAAAGGGCACCAAGCTCACGCTGCTCCGCTCCAACATCACCAGCGCGGAGGCCAAAAAGGGGGCCTGCATCGCTCTCGGGGGATCAAACGAGGAGAACGTGAGGGAGGAGTACGAATACGTGAAGGTGCGGGCAGGATGGACGGATGACACCCTTATTGCATCCTTCATTGATTCGCTTGGCCCCATCGGCAACTACGGCAGCTACAACACCCTGCTGCTCAAGCATTCGAGCCTCTCCGATCGAGTCGACGGGCGATGCGGTTGAGGCTGGTCCGCTGACGCCCGGGCCCCCTCCCTCCTTTGCGATGACTGTGACGGGCGAACGAGTGTCCATCTTGGTGCCAGCCGAGACGGGAGAATGATGGGAGACAGCTGCGCGGGGAGGGGTAGAGAGACGTGGGGACAAGCCACGCGCATGCACATGAAGTTCAAACCTCCCCCCTGGGGCGTTCTTGGGTACTCTTGGACGTGCTGTCGTTCTCGTTGTGTGCGCGGAAGAGGTCTTTTCAATGTATGTGGCTCTTACGTACATTTTCTGATTATCTAAGATGTGAGACTATGGGTATGATATGTGCAACAGGATAATGTTTGATCTTTCTCCGCGCCCCCCGCCGTCCAAAAACACCGAAATATAAGTATTGTGCGGAGGGGGGGTAACGAAGGTGAGAGGGCCCCTTTTATCTAGAACTAGACCCCTTTTTGGCGACATCTCTCATGATTCTCTCTTTTGTTTTAGTTTCATGCGCGACATTATACCTCCCCACCGCGCGTGCTCACGATGCCACCCGGTGCAACACCCATGGCAGAGGTCGCGGCAAATGCTCCCGGCACTTTGTCCAGACCCAATTCGGCACGGCGCTGTTGACCTGCAGGCTTGCCGCGGGGGCCGCGAGCGCTCGGACGAGCATGAGCGGCAGGCAGCTCCTCTGGGCGCCGCGGAACTCGGAGCGAAAGAATGGCAGAGGGTGGGTGCGGTACAAGCGGAGAAAGCCAGGCAGGGTCGCATTGCTGAGGGCTCGCCAGAGCAGCTCGAGCCGCGCGTGCACATACGCGTCTCGCGAGACAAAGTCGCCCCCCAGGGCGGCCTCGATGGCGGCGGTTGCATTTCGAAACGTGTACCGTGCATTTCGTTGCTCGAAGAGAAAGAGCAGCCAGGACACCTCGAGCCAAAAGCCGACATCGATGCACCCCCGCTGCGCGTTATGTGCCTGCACGACCGCATCGTAGAAGCCTCTCCCGCTACCCCACGCGGCGCGCACGGCGCTCCAATACTCACGAAAGGCCTCGCGCTCATACCAGAAGCCCATGTCTTCGAAGAGCGAGGCGGTGAGCGATGGCACCCGCTTCTGCAGCGCTCCGACCGTGAGGCCGCGCGCGTCGCGAAAGAGGTGGAGCGAACACCACTTGATTTCGATGGGCGCCTTGTCGTCTTGCCGTCCCGGGCCGGGGGCTAGAGCCGGGGCGTCCGCGTACCACACTTCCCGTCTCGAGGCGGATGCCTCAAACAGGCTGGCTATCGATACCCTTTTCCACACATAAGCCTCGCTGTCGGTGACGAGCACCCGCACCGCGCCGAGCACCTCGTGAGCGTAGCGCGCCGCATAGGCCTTCTTGGTGCAGACGTAGAGCTTGCCGAGCCTTCCCCGGTTCTTGGCGACGGGGAGACTGGTCGACGAGGCCACGCCGTCCAGCCGAAGCACTGCGTGCGGCAGGTCAACCACCGTCAACATTGGCAGCACCGAGACTTTGAAGCGCTGCTGGTTGCGCGGCAAGCCCGCCTCGTGCGCACGGAAGAGGCTCCAGAGCGCTGCAGTCTCGTTTGGGCTGCTTGTGATCACCAGAAGTCTGCAGGCGGTCGGGTCGGCAACATTGGCGGCGTACGAGAGGAAGAACTGCAGCAGCACGCGGAAGTGGCCCGCGAACGTCGCTATGGCCAGGGCGATGGCCATCACGGCAGCACGCGGAAGTTGCCCGCCAACGTCGCTATGGCAGGGATGGCCATCACGGTCGTTTCGGGCACAAGTCTGATCAGGGACGCTAGGCGCTAGTGATGAGCGTGAATTCACACCGCCCTAAAATAAATTTAAATGCGTTTAGCGCCCTTCTTACCGCTTATTCCATATTCGAATGTCTTCTTACGTTGCTTCTTACGTTGCTCTGATCAGACAGCTAAGAAGTCTGATCAGCAAAGAACAGCGAGCAGTGACTCAAGAACAACCAACCCTGCCCTAACCATCGGACGCCAACTAGAACCAGCGTGGGGCTCTGACACAGAGGTGAGCTGCCTCCACGGGGAGCTTGGGACTGCGCGGCACTGCGCCTCACGACGCCCAAGGAAGCCTCGCGGCCAACCCGTCCCCAATTCCATCCAACAATCCCACCGCGGGCTTTCAAATTGCCCAGCGCCACCCGCCTTGCTACGCCCCCCCCCGCCTAAGTCCACCCTGTCACGCCGCCTCGAGGATCTCGGTGAGCAGCTGCACAAACTCGGCGCGGTCGACGTCGCCGGAGTCGTCCGCGTCCATCCGCGACACGATCTCGCTGATGTCGTCGTCCGAGAGGCCCGTGTGGAGCGAGGCGAAGGCCGCCTTGATCTCGGCCATCGTGAGGTTGCCCGAGCCGTCCGCGTCCATCATGTCAAAGATCGCCTCCGCCACCTCCTCGGCCGACTCGTCCTCCTCGTCGGTGAGCATGTGCGAGGCGAACTCGACGAACGAGACGGCGCCGTCGCCGTTCGAGTCGAGCTCCTCGACCAGCTGCAGCAGCTCCGCCTTCTCGAGGCTGGTGCCCATCGACTTCATCAGCTCGCCCAGCTCGCGCAGGTCGAGCTGCCCGTCCGCCTCGCCGCCCGTGTCAAACGCCTCGAAGACCTGCTTGAGCTCGAGGCCGCGCTTCCGCTTCTCCTCGGGCAGCGAGCGGAGGAACTCCTCGACGCTTTGCTCGGCGCGCACGCTCTGCGACGCCTCCTCGCGCTTCTTGGCCGCGCGCGTCTTGGAGCGCATGCCTTGCAGCAGCTTGGCGGCGGCGGCGAACTGCGCGAGCTTCATCTCTTGCATCACCTTCTTCGTGCACGCCTTGTCCCAAAACTCCTCGACAGAGAGCGTGTAGATCATCGGCGCGAGCGCGTCGGGCACCGTCAGGATCATGAGCGAGAGAATCGGGTAGACGCCGATGGCGATCCGCGGGTCGAACCAGGCGGGGAACGTGTAGCCGAAGAGCGTGTACCCCTTGGCCGGCTTGATGAAGATGACCATGATGGTGAGGTAGAGCGCCGAGAAGAGCAGCATCGCCTGCACAAACAGCTGCCCGCCGTGCACCGCAGCGTGGCGCTGGTCGTGACCGCCGCCGTGCCCGCCGCCGCCGCCGCCACCATGCCCGCCGCCGCCGCCGTGCCCGCCGCCGCCGCCGTGCCCGCCGCCGTGCCCGTGCCCGCCGCCCTTGACGCGCAGGCGGTAGAGGCCGAGCTGGCGAGAGACGCCCTTTTGGACGCGGGTGAGCTTCCAGGTGCCGGCGCTGAGGGTCTGCACGGGCGTCGCGTTCACCTCCTTGATGAGCGGCGCCTCGAGCTCCGCGTCGTCGTCGATCGGGCCCGAGCCCGCGAACGAGCGCACGAGCCGGAGGGAGGGCGCGTCCGACACGGCGCGCACCTGCTCCTCGGGCGGCTCGGAGGAGGGGCCGATCGGGAGGAGGCGCTCGAGGACGACGTTGTAGTGCTCGAGCACCACCTGTTAGCCGCGAGCACCCGAGATCACCCGAGATTCCGCGAGATCGTGTCGCGGCGCTCGAGCACCGCCTGCGCGGCGCCGAGCACGGCCCAGCCGAGCGTGATCAGCAGCCACAGGGTGAGCGGCTCGCCAAAGAGCGTCACCGTGGAGAGCTCCTCGCCGCACTCGATGAGCGCCGTCATGACGAGGAGCGAGACGAGCCACGACGAGTTTGCGAGGTGCAGCGTGTGCTCCAGGAACGACTTTGCGCACTCCTGCTGGTAGTTTGAGAACTGGAAGTCGGCGGGCAGCATCTCGCGCCCGCCCTTGCCGCCGCCCACCGGCGCGTCGCCCAGGATGAACCGGTGGCGCAGCATCTGGAACCGCGCCCGCTGCTTGGCCTCGGCGAGCAGCCACTTGCAGCGGACATACGCGCACGGCGAGGGGCGGCGCAGCCGCTGCGGGCCACTCACCTGCGGCGGCGTCTCTGCCGGCTTGGGCGCGATCCGCTCCTCCATCGGCGCGCGCTTCACCTTGCCGTTCTCGAGGGTGACGTACCGCGCCGAGCGCGTGAAGCGCGCGATCTGCGGCTCCTGCTCGGGCGAGGCGAGGGGCGGAGAGGTGGGTTGGCAGTGGGTCGGCAGTGGGCCGGGAGCGGGACGGGAGCGGGCCGGGAGCGGGCCGGGAGTGGGTCGGGAGTGTCACCTGCTCCGGCCAGACGTCGCGGATGGTCTGCCCGGTCTGCAGCGCGAGCTGTCCGGCGGCGTGCCTGAGGTCCTCCTGGCAGACGAGGTAGCCTACGCGGCTCCGAAGACGGTCCGGCGGAGGGGGCGGCGAGTCTGAGGTCCTCTGGCGGGGCTCAGGTGGTGGCCGTAGTCCTCAACGGAGGGGCCCTCGGAGCCGCCCTTCGCCTTTGCGAGCCGGCCGTAGTAGATGATCTGCGTCTCGTGCGCGTCGAGGATCTGCTCGCGCTTTGCGACGCAGGCGAGCAGCCAGAGGGCCCACATGAGGAAGAGGACGAGCACGAAGAAGAGCGCAAAGTGGATCTTCTCGAACATGTGCACCAGGTGCTCGTCGTCCTCGAAGACCGCCTCGGAGATGTGCTGCAGCACCTGGTGGGCTCACAGAGAGGCGCCTCAGAGTGATTGCTTGCTTGGCGGATGAAGACCGCGTCCCTGTGTGGTGCGTCGCCTCGGACTGCAGCAGGATGAAGGTGACGAGGGCGAGGAAGCCGAGCACGGTCAGCTCGCCCCAGATGCGCTCGAGGACGGGGCGGTACTTGCGGAACTTCTCCTCGACCACCTCCTTGCCGTTCTCGAAGATGAGCGTGAAGATGACCAGCACGATGATGATGGACAGCTGCGCCTGCGCCTCGACGAACCCCTCGACGTGGTGCGCCGCATGGTGCACGGCGGCGTGGGCGGCGTGGTGGACCGCGGAGGCGGTGCGCTGCACGTGGTGGTACCAGTGCGGCTTCTTGCACGTGCCGCAGGTGAGCGGGCAGTAGAAGGCGACCGTCTCCGCGTTGTGCTCCGCGTCGCAGTCGGCCGAGCCAATGAGAGGCGTGAGGTCTTGGCATGTGCGGCTGTCGGACGTCGGGTCGGGACCGTCCCACTTGTAGTGGGGGTCGTCGTAGCAGCCGCCCTCCTCCTCCTCCTCGCCCTCCTCCTCCCCGTGCCCTCCCTCCTCCTCCGCGCCGTGAGCCGACAGCCGCCGGTGGGCCGCAGCCTCAGGGTGCGAGGCGGCAAAGCTGGTCGTGGCGTCGTGTAGGTTGTGCGTAAAGGTAAAGATGGCGTCTCCGCCGTGGGCCGCCGCCTCCGCGTCGGCGCCGTGGCCCGCGACCGCCTCGTGCCCGCCGTGGCCCTCGGCGTGCCCGCCGTGACCCTCCGTTTCTGCCGCGCCGTGCCCGTGCTCGCCGCCGTGCTCGCCGTGGCCGTGCGCATGAGCCTTCTCAAAGGCGGAGAAGCCCCAGCAGACGAAGGGCAGCGCGAGCGTCAGGATCAGCGTCCACGCCTGCCGCTTTGCCCACCACTTGAAGATGGATGGCATCGGCGATTTGGCCGAGTAGCGCCGCCGCCGGTCGGCGTCGAGTTGAGCCTTGAGCTTGGAGTTGCCGATCTGCAGGCGACGCGCGAGAGGCGGGCTGTCACGCGCGGGCGCGAGGCTGGGGCGCACACGGGCCGTGCTTTGCGCGCCTGGCTCAGTTCGTCGTCGTCAGCTGTCCTCATGCTTGGTTATCCTGCCCCCCCTGGGGCTTTGTGGTGGCAGCCTCCCTGATGGCGCCGCGTTTGGTTTTTCTCGTTTTGGGAGTCTGTCCAGTCCTGGCTCAGGTCCTGGCTGTTCTTCACCTTTCTACCTACCTACGCAAGTGTGCAGTATTTTTGCTTGGCCGTACATCATGATGAAATTCTGCAAAAACCTGGCCGGCCCCTGCCCAGCCCCTACCTACCTACCTACCTACCTACCTTACTTATGGGAAACTAAAAAAGCATTGCTGGGATGGGTGAAGGACTGAAGGTGGGGTATACTGACCAACAAAGTGATGGCTGGTGGTACTCTCCTGCAACCACAGTCCTTCCTGTGACATGGCAGGCCACTCTCAAGAAGGAAGAGAACTCTGTGTGACACATTTCTTGTTGGCTTCTAAAAATCTCTCTCTCAAGCCCTACAAGCACCAGATCACACACTTGCAAAACACACACACACTTGGGGAGGGTTGACATCGTGATTTCCGCGGAAAATTTCTTTTTCTGCTGTGAAATTTCCGGCGTGAAGAGAGGGAACCCCCGACGGGAGGCCCAGGCCTACCCTACCTTGTACCTACCCCGTCATGTACTGTACGGCCAAGCAAAAATACTACACACTTGAGTCTCGTGGGATTTCGTGGGGCTAAAGCGTAAACGAGGTGGGCACGACGCGAGGTGGCACGACGCGAGTCGGGTGGCGCGTGGAGCCTCCTACCTGGGGTCCTCTATGGTACGGGACGCCTTCGTTGTTTGTTTGAGTTGGCTACAGCCTACACCCCAAAACGGGCAACGGCCAACGGCAACGCCCGCGAGAGATGCGAGAGAAGCGATGAGCGAGACACAGAGAGTGAGAGAGAATCTCATTCACAACCGTAAACACAAAAAATCTCCGCAGAAACTGTGTGCATTTATTTCAACGTTCTTGCATGCTCCACACTCACCACGGCGCTCCCGACGACCGCGTCCGCCCCGCCAAAGTACAGCCTGAACCGATCGTGGCCGATTGCGTGCGCCGCCTCGACAAAAGCGACCTGCGGCATGTTGCACGTGTACGGCTTGGCTCCCGCCATCCAAGGCAGCGAAGCCGGCGACCAGAGAGGTGACGCCGCGCTGGCGAGCACGCGTGTCGGGTCGTCGCCGTCGAGGACGGCCCACGCCGGCTGGTAGGCGCTACCCGCTGCCTTCCACGAGTTGAAGAAGAAGACGTAGTTGCCGTCCGCGAGCCGCAGCGGCGGCGGGCCAGCCTCGACGTTCGCGTTGCCCCACGCGGTCCCGCGGAGAAACGGCTCGCCGGGCTGCCAGCGAAGCAGGTCGCTCGAGCGGGAGACGCGGATCTCCCCCGCGCCGTAAAACAAGTAGTGCGGCGGCGCGGCGCGGATCAGCAGCGCCGCGCTCTTGTGCGGACCCTCAAAGACCGTGCCATGCCGCGTCCAGCTCGATGCCTAGCGTATCAAACAACAGTGAGCCGAGCGAGGAGAGCGGCACCGAGGAGCACACACATATACATGCAGCGCGGTGCCGAGGTGGGGTCGGGCGTGGTCGCGAGGCTGAGCCGAATGTCGCCGCTGACCGACCAGGCCGTGTAGAACATATAGTACATCCCAGTGCGATCGTCGTAGGCCAGCCTGGGATCCTCCGTACCTCGTTCGTCCGCTGCATCGTGCGGCGCAAACACGACGTCCGAAAGCTTGGCGAAGACGGGCGCGCTGCTGGTGTGGTTGTCGTCGCTAAGGAGCGCGGAAAATGAGAGGGCCGACGCGTTTCGCGGCCCGCTGCCAGCGCACGCCACGCACCGACCGCCAGCGACCGCAGAGCAGTTTTGGCTGCGCACGAGGAGGCCGGACGTCCAGCGTGTGGAGGCCGATGGCGCCACCCAAGCCGGGTTGAAGGATTGCTGGAATCGCGACGTGCCGTCGACAAAGCTGAGCACAGGAGTGGCGTCGACAGTCGCAGAGGCTCGCCAGTGGCTGGTGTTGGTCATCCGCAGAGAGAGACAAAGTTGTTCTTGTATCCGGGCGTCTGTTCTCGGCTCGCCACGAAAGATTTCGCGCGGCCGAACACAGCGTTTCGTTTTTTCTCACACCACGTGCCTCTGCACGTCCGTTCTTGAAAAAGTGGGTGGGTGGGTAAACGCTTCGTAGGCCCCGGATGGTGAGTGGGTGGGTGGGTGGGTGGTGGGTGGGCGGGTGGGTGGGTGGGTGGGTGGGTGGGTGGGTGGGTGGGTGCATTTGTCGTTTCTCTCTCCGTTCGCGCGCGTCTTCGAGGCACAGCTCTCGTCGTTGCCACAGCATGTCGTTCCTCGCACCGTGCCCACGCGACGGCACCAGCTGACCGAGATCGCGCTCCCTGACGGCTGCCGCGTGCCTTACGGGGGCGGCTTACGGCGCGCTCAACAAGTGTCAAGTCATCCGAGGGCGGACTGCTGTTACGCTCGACGGAGTGCGACGCCGCTCCAGCAGCTCGAGGGGTTCAAACGCGAGGCGACCATCGTCTCCGCCGAGCTCGACGACGAGGCGGCCGTTATTATCTCCTGTCCTCGGGAGGGCGGCGGCGGCCCGGTGCAGAGTCGGAGGCGCGCTCCCGATGACAAATATTCGCCTCACAGTCAAACACGGCTGCTCACACGCCCAGCCGTGCTCTGGTGCGTCGCTTGGGACGCCTCTGCCGCCGAGATGTCGAGGCCGGGGCGCACTCTTCGACTTGGGCTATTATCTGGCCTCGGGAGGGCGGCGGCGGCGGTGTAGGGGCGGCGGCGAGCTCCCGGTGGCAAATGCTCGCCTCACAGTCCAAGATGGCGGCTCGCGCCCCCGGCCGTGCACCAGCATGCCTCTCTAGTCCCGCCTGCCACCCAGATACCGAGGGCAGGGCGCACTCTTCGACTTGGGCTATTATCTGGCCTCGGGAGGGCGGCGGCGGCGGTGTAGGGGCGGCGGCGAGCTCCCGGTGGCAAATGCTCGCCTCACAGTCCAAGATGGCGGCTCGCGCCCCCGGCCGTGCACCAGCATGCCTCTCTAGTCCCGCCTGCCACCCAGATACCGAGGGCAGGGCGCACTCTTCGACTTGGGCTATTATCTGGCCTCGGGAGGGCGGCGGCGGCGGTGTAGGGGCGGCGGCGAGCTCCCGGTGGCAAATGCTCGCCTCACAGTCCAAGATGGCGGCTCGCGCCCCCGGCCGTGCTCTGGCGTGCCTCTCTAGCCCCGCCTGCCACCCAGATACCGAGGGCGGCGCGCACTCTTCGACTTCTCTTGGGCTATTATCTGGCCTCGGGAGGGCGGCGGCGGCGGTGTAGGGGCGGCGGCGAGCTCCCGGTGGCAAATGCTCGCCTCACAGTCCAAGATGGCGGCTCACACGCCCAACCATGCTCTGGTGCGTCGATTGGGTCGCGTCTGCTGCCCGTGTCTCTGTCTTATCGGCACGACGACAACAAGCTACCCCTAACCCTAACCCTAACCCTAACCCTAACCCTAACCCTAACCCTAACCCGAAGAACTCGGAGCATTCACCGAGAGCTCGCGTCAACGGACCGCTGGTTCCTCCATTCCGACCCGAAGCGGCCCGTTCTTAGGAGCTGCACAACGGCTTGAACTCTCTGACCCTACCCCTAACCCTAACCCTAACCCTAACCCTAACCCTAACCCTAACCCTAACCCTAACCCTAACCCGAAGAACTCGGAGCATTCACCGAGAGCTCGCGTCAACGGACCGCTGGTTCCTCCATTCCGACCCGAAGCGGCCCGTTCTTAGGAGCTGCACAACGGCTTGAACTCTCTGACCCTAACCCTAACCCTAACCCTAACCCTAACCCTAACCCTCGGCTGTGGGTCAGGCTGTGCTGTATAAGGCGCGCGAGGCTGGGTGCTTTGCTACCTTGCTTGTGTCTCCCGTGGCCGGGACGGTTGGTTGGGTGGTGGGGGTGGGTCGGTTTGTGTGGGTGGGTTCCTCGCCTCATCAGCCGGGCCGTGGGTGGTGCTGGGGGTGGGTGGGTGGTTCCAAGCCTCAGCCGGGCCGTGAGGTGGGTGGGGTGGGTGGGTGGTTCTAAGCCTCAGCCGGGCCATGAGGTCGGTGGGTGGGTGGGTGGCTCAAGAAGCTCGTGCACGTGAACGGAGGTGCAGAGGCACGTGGTCTGAGAAAAAACGCAACGCTGCACGGGACTGTCCTCCCATCCCTCCCGGGCTGCGTGTTTTCTTTCTTTCTATCCACACGTTCTGTCCAGCGTCCACCCATACCGCGTTGGTGTCCAGTCCGAGCCTGGCTGTTCTTCACCTTTCTACCTACCTACCTAGGTACATGTTTGAGATCACGACACGTGGTCACCAAAAGAAAGGGGGGATGCCAAGTGGTATAAGAGAAGAGAAACTGCAATTAAAATTAAAATCTTTCTACCTCCTCGTGATCCAACCCGCCACCCCCCTCGCCTCGTCGCCCTCCCGCAGCCTCGCCCCTACCTCGCCCGCTCGCGCCCGAGACTTTCTACCTCCTCGTGATCCAACTCGCCACCCCCTCGCCCGTCACCCACCCGTCGCCTCGCCGCTACCTCGCCCGCTCGCGCCCGACTTTCTTTCTACCTCCTCGTGATCCAACCCGCCACCCCCCTCGCCTCGTCACCCTCCCGCCGCCTCGCCGCTCCCCTGCCCGCTCGCGCCCGACTTTCTACCTCCTCGTGATCCAACCCGCCACCCCCCTCGCCCGTCACCCTCCCGCAGCCTCGCCGCTACCTCGCCCGCTCGCGCCCGACTTTCTGCCTCCTCGTGATCCAACCCCGCCACCCCCCTCGCCCGTCGCCCTCACCCCCGCCTCGCCGCTACCTTGCCCGCTCGCTCGCGCCCGACTTTCTGCCTCCTCGTGATCCAACCCCGCCACCCCCCTCGCCCGTCGCCCTCCCGCCGCCTCGCCGCTACCTCGCCCGCTCGCGCCCGACTTTCTACCTCCTCGTGAAACACCCCGCCACCTCACCCTCCCGCCGCCCCGCTGCTCGCTTGCCCGCTCTGCCCAGCCGACCGACGCCCCGCCATCCGTTGCCGTTATGCCGCCGCTCCTTACTGTCCGCCGTGCCGTCGTTCTTTACCATACCGCGCCGCCTTTCCATACTTCCTGCTTCGACGGGGTTTGTGTTGAGGAGTGACCCGTGCCGCCGTGTGCCCCGCAGCGGCCTCGCTGGGCCAGAAAGTCGGCCCCGAGTGCCAGCAGCAGCCTCGTTGAGCCAGAACGTCGGCTCGCGAGGTGGGTGCTAGTATGAGCCCGATCCGTCGCAGTGCTCTTGCAAATGCAACTTGAAAATGAAAAGAATTTTAGGGGGAAGAGAAAGCTGCGGAAATTTCTCTGCCTTCCATGGACGCGTTCTTACAACAACGTCGGCGACGGCGCTAGACACCGACACCGAGCCGACCCAAAATGCGCGCAGAGGTCTTCGCCAAGGACACACAGTCCCTCGTGACCGCGTCCAGGCTGCTCTTGAGCGTCGGAGCGCGAGGCATCAACGTGCCCAACAAGGCTACCGTCGCGCAGAACCCAGAGCTGGCTCCCGCGGCCGCGCTCCATTCTCTTGCTGCGGCCCTGTCAACGACCGAGATGAAGGGTGTCTGCCCACACTACTCGCTCAAGTTCAACAACGACGCACGTGACCCGGCCTCCACGCTTCGCCGATTTGAAGCCTTCTGTGAGGAAGCCGCAAGCCTGCACGTGCGCGAGATCCTGCTTGTGAGCGGCTCTGGGTCCCGCTCGTTCGACTCGCTCGCTTGCCTCAAGGCTCTGACGCTGCCGGCGGAGCGCCGTCCCGCCATCGGGGTGGCCTTCAACCCCTTTTTCCCCGACCGGGCGGCGCGCATGCGGGAGCGCGCCCGATTGCGGCAGAAGCTCAACACCGGGGCTGTCTCCGCCATCTGGCTGCAGATCGGCTCCGACGTGCTGCTCCTACGCGAGGCACTCGCGTTCCTCGCCGAGCTGCGGGGGGTGCATCCGGCCCTTCGGCTGTACGGCTCGGTCTTTCTGCCCTCACGCAAGCTCCTCGCGCAGCTGAAGTTCCGGCCATGGAACGGTGTCTTCCTCTCAGCCGAATACCTCTCCTCGGTCGAGGTGGCGAGCACGATCACGTGCCGCGTGCTCGACGCTTACGCGACGCACGGCGTCGAGCCACTCCTCGAGTCGGCGGTCCGGTCTCGAGCAGAGTGGCGAGCCGCTCGTGAGCAGCTCGGGCTCTCTCCCGACATCCCTGCTGCCCTGTCCACAGCCGAGGACCCTGCTGCCGATGCCACGGAGGCCACCGAGCCCGGCCTGTCGGAGCCGCCCCTCTCCAAAAGGCCGCGTCGCCAAAGCAATCCCATCGCGCCGGTGGATGCGGAGCCAGCAGCGGCGGTGTCGCCGGCGACCTCAGCTGGCGCTTCCGGCGCGGCCGCACCCACTGCTTGCACCCTCGTGTGGTTCCGGACCTTCGACATTCGCCTCGCCGACCATGCGCCTCTGCGCGCGGCGGCAAGCGCAGGGGCGGTCTGTCCGTGCTTTGTCTGGCCCGCGAGGCGCGGCACATGGTCGCTTGGCGGCGCGGCTCAGGCGTGGCTGCGAGAGGCGCTTCGCAGCCTCGCGGGTGGCCTGAGAGAGCACTACTCCTCACGGCTTGTGCTGCGAGCGCCGTCGGGCGGTGGCGACGCCAGTGACGAGTACCTGGCAGCAGCAGCCGCCGCGTCGTCCAAGGTAGCTGTGCTTCGTGGGGCGGATTGTGCGGCCGCAGAGGCGGAGGCTGTCACGACCGCCGCGGAGTTGCTCCGCCTGGCCGACGAGAGCAGCGCGAGGGCGGTGTACTGGCACCGCAGCTACGAACCCGAGGGACAGCGAGTCGAGGCGGTCGTGCGCGAGGCGCTGCGGGGCCGGGGCATCGCTTGCGTCGCAATGGCGGGCGCGTTGCTGTACGAGCCCGCTGCGGTGCACTGCCCGGCTGGCTGGCAGGGCGGCCACTGGGGCACTCTGATGCCGTTTCTGCGCGCGTGCGAACGCTCCGGGCCGCCGCCGACGCGTCCGACAGAGCGCCCAGTGGCGATGCAGCCTCCATGCGCGTGGCCCGCAAGCGGGGCGCTAGAGGACCTTCGCCTGGCCGCTCCGCCGGTGCTGTCCGGTGGCTCGGTCGGCCGCGACTGGAGCGCGGCGATGATGGCCGGTTGGGAGGTGAGCGAGGCGGCCGCGGCACGGGCGATGGAAGATTTTGTCGGCGGCGGCGGGCTGGCCGGCTACGAGGCGCGACGCTCGCGGGCAGACGAGCCCGGCGCCGTGTCGCGCCTCTCCGCCTTCCTTCGGTTCGGCCAGCTCTCTCCGCGCGCGCTGCACTTTGCGGTGCGCGACGCGGGATTGCCGCGCGAGCAGGTCAAGACGTTTGCGCGCCGACTGCATTGGCGCGACCTAGCATCCTTTCACCTCTCTGTCTTCCCCGAGATGCCCTGGCGTCCGATCCGCGCGCACTACGCGTCGCACGAGTGGTCCGGCGACGCCAGCGCGCTGCGAGCGTGGCAGCGTGGCAACACCGGCTTCCCCATGGTGGACGCTGGCATGCGGTGTCTTTACGCGACAGGGTGGATGCACCAGTCGGTCCGCATGGTCGTCGCGTCGTTTCTAATCGAGTACCTTGGCATTTCGTGGGTGGACGGCGCGCGTTGGTTCCACGACACGCTCGTCGACGCCGACTTAGCCATCAACTCGATGATGTGGCAGAACGCTGGCCGATCGGGGATAGACCAGTGCGCCACCGCCCACCGCCCTTCGATCCTCTGTATGTGAGCACTGACAGCCCTTGTTTCAACATGCAGGTGGAACTTCGTTCTCTCCCCCGAGACGGGATCGCAGGACCCGAGCGGCGGGTACGTGCGCAAGTGGGTGCCGGAGCTCGCTGGTCTGCCGACGAAGCACCTCCACGCGCCGTGGAAGGCGCCGGCGGCGACCCTCTCTGCGGCGGGAGTCGAGCTCGGCGCAACCTACCCGCACCGCATCGTGCCCGACCTGCCGGCGGCTCGGCGCATCACCGTTGCGGCGCTGCTTCGGATGCGCGCTTCTTCGCTTGACTTCAACGACGCAGGCGGCTACGACCTGGTCACTCTACCCACGGGTGAGACTACGCGAGTGTTCACCAAGCAGGAGTTCAGGCTCACCGCCTCTGGCCTACTCAAGCCGCCCCCGAGCGGCAGCCGAGGTCGCGGCTCGGCACGCAGCCGCCACACGAGCGGCGGTGGCCGAGCGAGTGGCCGAGGCGCGCAGTTGCAGGGCAAGGTGTCGACCGGGCAGAAGAAGATCTCGTCGTTCTTTTGACACCACACGCGTGTGTTTGATTGAGAGCAACCTCTTGGAGTGCACATGAGCGACGCCACTCATTTCTCTGCTGGGTGCGCCTATAATGTCGCCTTTTGCGGCCCCTTTGAGTTTCTCTTTAACAAAGAAAGAAAAATATCCCGCCGCGGGCGTCGGATTTCTCCTAGCTAGCTTCTTAGACTTAGTTTGAAATATCGGGCGCGTGTGAACGCCTTAGGCCCGCGGCCCACGGGAGTAGTCCCTCCCCATCCCCGGGGCCTCCAGGGCAAGCCACACTGTGCACTGACTGACTCAAAGGACAAAGCCTAGCGCGCAGCGCCGGGAGATGTGTCTTTTGACGGCACGCCGCCACCACACAGGGTTTAAAAGAAAGAAAGAAAACACACAGGGGTTTTAATCCGGTGCAGGCGTCGTGAAATTCTTTTTCCGCGACGGGCGCCGACGGGCACGACCTGTGCGATATGCCATGCCCATTCACACCGCCACCTCTTCGCAGTCCGTCCACGCGGCGCTTGCTATGGCACGCGCTGGCGACACCGTTCTCATCCCGTCTGGCGCATTTGTCGACTTGCGTTCGCCGATCAATGTGACCACGTCAAACATAACTCTGCGAATAGATGGAACCTTGGCAGCGAGCACGCCGCCTCGAGAGGGGTGGCCTGTCCTCCCTCCACTTCCGACATACGGTCGAGATCGCGATGGCGCCAAGTCGCACCGACACCACCCAATCCTTCTTACGCATCGCGCAGAGCATGTGAGAATTATCGGAGAGGGCAACCTCGATGGCGGCGGCTCGTGGTGGTGGACGCACCGTCACGCGCTCGCTGCCGGCAGGCCACACCTGATCGAAGTCTACTCGTGCACACATATCGAACTTTCTGGCCTTCGACTCAGCAATTCGCCATTTTGGACCGTTCATGTCTTCAACTCGTCCCACGTGCACGCGCGATACCTCACGATTCGCGTCTCGCCTCGCACCGCGCCTCAAAGGGCTTGGACGTATGAGGGCATGGCACCGCTCTATGCACCAAACACGGACGGAATAAATCCAGACTCTTCGAGCAACGTTCTCATCGAGCACAACGACATTTCCTGTGGCGATGACCATGTGGCGATCAAATCGGGTATGAATCAGGTAGCTCGCGACCCTCTGCACTCCTATCGCACCTCTAACATCACGGTGCGCCGCAATATATTCCGCCTTGGAATGGGCGTGTCTATTGGTAGCGAGACGGCTGGGGGGGTCAGACACGTCCGTGTGCTTGACAACGTCTTCACCGGGGGCTCGTGGGGAATCGCATTGCACGTCAAGACTGCTGCACAGCGCGGGAACTCGATCGAGGATGTCTCGTTCCACCACAACATGGTGCACAACATGACTGCGTTGATGCGCCTGTCGACGTTCGGAAAGAGCGTCATGCCCACTAGCCACGCGCCGACGAGCGTCAAAGGGCTCGCCTGGGAGCACAATGTCTTCGCGGGCAAGGGCAGCAGGCGCCTTCGCTCCAAGTTTCTGTGCCCGTCACATGCCCACTGCGCCGATGTGCGCGTGGCCAACAACACGCTGCCGCCCGGCGCTGTATGGCGATGCGCCGCCGTGAGGCTAGAGGTTGGAGCAGGTGAGACGCGGCCTCGAGGGTGCGGGTAAGCTAACCAAAAGTGGAGGAGGGGTGTTAGTATCTCAGCCCGTTGAAGCGTGTAGACCAAGGGGGGTGTAGACTCGTACTGTAGAGTCGTGTCGCTGTGTGTCGATAGATGATGCTGAACACGCACTGAAACACGCAAGCACGACACAAAAGCCGAAAAAGCCCGCGCGCGTGAAAATGGTGAATGCTGCACATTTTGTTGCTGTTGCGATTTTACGACCATAGCACACAGTCACGGAAGGTGGGCTGCATTGTGTGCGGTTGCAATATTTAGGAAATCCCCAGCTACACGGCCTGAGTGCTAAGAGGCGCACACTCCGCACACACCACACAGCGCGGCCAGCGACTGCAGACGAGAGCGGCGCGGCGGGTCACGGGACTCACCGCGTGCCAGTCTCTCGCGCCTGGCCTGTGCTGCAGGTGCAGCGCTCTGTGTCCGACCCTGCGAGGCAATCAGTACTTCCGTAGTGGTTGGGACTTGTACACCAGTCCTGGGAGCACTGGCCCGCCATGCACACCGCACGCCGTGTGCGGCGCCGCTGCGCGTTCGTTTTTACCTGGCCCTGCATTCGTTTTTCTTCCCAGGAAAGGAAGAAGTCCGACGCAATGCGAAAAAGGCAATCAGAGCTCATAAAATGTACAAAAAAACACCTTACTTTCTGCACGACCGAGTTTGCGCTGATGACCGAGCCGCCGGGTGCCCCGCAGCGGCCTCGCTGGGCCAGAAGAACCGGTCCGCGAGTGCTCCGCAGCAACCTCGCTGAGCCAGAACGTCGGCTCGCGAGGTGGGGTGCTAGTCTGGGACCCATACGTGGCAGTTCCCTTGCTCCAAGCGCTTGCGCTTCGGCGGTAGTGATCTGATCACCCGAATACCACGTTCGGATCGCTCCTCATCGCAAACCCTGTCAGCAGTTCACCCTCGGATATGTTCGTAAATAAATAAATAAAACGGGCACGCCAAACGAGGGGTGGGAGAAGGACAGGGTCCCCACCTGCACGAGCAGGATCTTGTAAGGACGATCAGGGACACAGGGGAACGGGAGCGGGGAGCGCATCGCGACACGGAGGGGGGCTGGGCAGGGTTCACCCACACGACAGGGTCCCAGGGATTCCTCTCTCGTATAGGACAGGTTGCACCCGGATTGTTCCGGATATGTTCGTTTAAGAGCTACGTAAACTGAAAAATACTTTTCATGACAGGAGGGACTTGCGGCGGCGGGCACCTCCACGCGGCGCCGGGTCCTCAGCGCGTGGAAGTGCACGAACCGTCCTGTGTGTATGTCCCTCTTACTGCAGCTCAGCGCCGTGGCGCAGCGCACGTTCGGTCCTGTGGGAGGGGGCCACGGCTGGGCAGCCGAGCACGGGCAGGCACCGTCTGTGAGTCACGGCGCACTGACTGTGCACGGTGACTCCCGGCTCTACCTTGTGCGCGACTCGGCGGGAGAGGACTGGGCGAGGCACTCCTACGTGCGCCTCGACCTGGGTGCGTCTCCCCTGCGCTTCACGATCGACACGAGCAACGTGCCGTGCGGCTGCCTGGCATGCGTTTACTTGGTGTCAATGCCTGACCCAGAGGCTGGCCGATCCAACTATTGCGACATGGCGGAGAATGTGGCGCCTGGCTACCGTGGTCAGACCTGCATTGAGATGGACATACTCGAGGCAAATTCGCACGCGATGCAGGCGGCAATTCACACTGAGGTTGGGGGCGAATACGGCTCGGGAAATTGTGATCGGAATGGGTGCTTCATGCGCGTTGGCGGGCCGCAAGCCGACCGGCCCCGGCAAAACAGCTACGGCGTTGGCAATGACCGGCGCATAAACAGCGCGAGGCCGTTCGACGTGGAGGCGAGCGTTGACGTGCAAGGCCGCACGACGATCATGTTGCGCCAAGAAGGGGTGCGGGTCACGTCGTTTGACCCTCGCCTCGCTGGGAACCCGCAGGGACAGGGCGTGCCGGCAGCGGCATTGCAAAAGACTCTGAGTGCGCAGGGCACCTTGGCGCTCGTGGCTTCCATGTGGCGGGCGAATGACCTCGCGTGGCTGGATGGCGGCTGCGGTCAATGTGACCTCAGCCGCGCCTCCTTCACTATCTCGAATCTTCAGTTCTCTGGAATGGCTAAGCCGCCGCCGCCGCCACCGCCGTCACACCCTCCGCCGCCGCGGCCAAAGCCCCCGCCTGCGCCGCCGGATCCCGTCCAGCCACCGCCGTCACCACCACCACCATCGCCGTCCCCTCCGCCGCCACTGCCGCCACTGCCGCCGCCGCCCTCTCCATTTCCACCGCCCTTGCCGCCGCCGCCGCCGCCAGTGTCGCCACCCTTCTTGCTTGGAACCACACCCGCAAATGCAGCGCTCGCCGCGCTGAGCGGTGCCCTACTGATTGGCGTTGCAATAGCGGCCATGCGCATCAGTCTTGGCTCGAAGCCGCCACCACCGCCGGTGCATGAATTCGCCATTTGATTGTTGTGCGGTATCTCCCCTCAGCTAACCAAGGATTGTACCGGCAGGCGTCCGGGGAGATTGACGATGGCGCTGCTGTGCAAACTCCTCGCGCCGTTGAAGTGGGCTGGGGACGCGAGCCGCCGGCCAGAGGGGTGTCGGAAGCCGTGACGAAAGTTCACTCTGGCATCATCTTCATTGTAGGCCGCGACGGGATGGATGACAGGGGCGAGGAGATGCAAGCCCTGCAAGCGTTGCTGCGAGCGCGGGAAAGCAAGTATGGGCGCCGAGGCCGACGGGCTGTTGCTCTGGACGAGGGCATACGCGAGCACGGAGGGGCTGGCGAGTATGACCGCACGAGCGAGCGGTCGCGCGGCAGCTGGCGCGAGGGACAGGGCAAATCGACTGCAGACCGCGATGCCATCGACGACGCGCTGCGCGCCGCATCCTGCCGCGATGGTCGGCCCCCCAGGCGGGGGGGCGTGATGAGAGCGAATGATGGGGTGATGGACTAGGTGCTAGACTACGTGGAGCACTTGCCTTCGACGTTTTTTTACTTGTGGCCGGACGTTACAATCGACGTGCGAGAATCGATGCTTTGCGCGATGAGGATGGGGCAGGCCGCGGGGGCCACTAATGATGCACCCATCCAAAGCCTCGCGCTCACAACAAACCGAACTCGACTGTACCGTCGGGATGGCAACGGCTCTTGTGCATGGCTTGTGACATCCCGTACAGAGCCGGATGCGGCACATGCAGCGGCATGCGAGGATCACTATGTCGAGTTGGCAGGAGAAGACAGCGTGGCGGCGGCGTGCAGCGGCGGCTGCGTCAAATGCGAGTACGTGCGCCTTCCCACGTCTGGCATCGACAGTGCTTGGGGCTGCCGTGAGGCTGACACTCTCTACACGCCTTGTGCCCTGCCTCCATTCCCACCACCGCCCGTGCCACCGTCCGTGGTCAATGTATCTTCGGCGCCGACAAGCTCACCTCGGACACCACCCTCGACGCCGGGCCAGCCAATCTCGCCTCCATCGGCCATTGGATCGCGGTCACGGCTCCGGCCGGGACAAGTGGGTGGCATCACAGTGGCCTTGCTCCTCTGTCTCGCCGGCTGCGTGGGCTGCGGGATTTGGTACAGAATAAGGTGAGCAGAGTCTGCAGCCGTCCGCCCATGGGAAGCAGAAGCCCGATGACCAAACCGATCCACACCGCACTGCATGCCCCGTCCACAGGCGCGACCCAAACCGAGACGTGTGTGTCTTCCCGACCTGCATCTGCCGCTTCATCGCGTTGCACGCATTCCGCTACGAGCTCAACCGCGAGCAAGCAAGGTGGGAGAGGGACGCTCGCCGGGCGGAGGCGGCTCGAGAGGCAGCAGACATGAAGGCCCCGCCCTCGACCGCGCCCGCCTCACCCGAGTCCAGAGACACAACCCCAGGTTCGATGCGATGGCCAGCCCCAGCTCCTTGTTCACCCGGGTCCGTGCGCTCGTCGCTATCGGGGCCGCGGAGTCCTGGGCAGGGGCATCCCCAAAGACCATTGGAGCCGGAGCGGGACGGACTGAGCCCGGACGCGATGAGAATCGGAGTGGTGCGGTCGTCGCAAGGCCACGTCGTCGTCGAAACCTCAGACGGCATGACGCGTATTCGTCGAGTTTAAGCATGCCTTTTCGTGCCCGCCGTCCCTACGCAAAGCAGTCGCGAATCCCGACGCCAGAGAGAGTGAATCCGACCATCGCGCTGACGCATTCTCCACTTTCGGCTACCACAACCACATGAGCCCGGCCTGCACTCCGACGGAGCACGACGGCTGTCTAGCCTGTCGCGCAGAGGAAGCCCAGGCGGCCTCACCAGAAGTGCGCACTTCCACCAGGCGACGTCCGAGTCACCCATTTTGTCGTCACAGGAGGTCTTCTGCGTGAAGAGCGGATATCGCGAGGAGGTGCGGTTCAATTATTAGCGAGCTCCCACTACAAAGTTAAGTGGATCGGTTGTTGTACACGAGGTGCGCTGCTTCTCCGAGTCCAATGAGGCGGCGGGGAGGGGGCATGAGGGGACCACGCCAATGTATTTGACGTACCAGGTGAAGGCTGAGAAAGAGACCCTCCGCGAACGCCCCTTAGTCACCCCACATCCCCCCTTTTGAGCAGAGCTGCGAATATCGAGAGCCGGAGTTCTTCGCTCTGGCTCGCTTCGAGGTTGTGATGGCCATCCTCATGTGTGTGGTAGAGCCTTGCGTTGTAGAAGAGGAGCAACTCGGGCATGACTCTTGGCGCCTGCAATAGGTTTGTGGCTTTGTTGAGTGCGCAGCGGCGCAAACGGATCCTCAGCCGCGATCAGCAATACCGAATCCAACAATACCTGAAAGGATAACGTGACGTGTAGTGTAACGCGGAAGGTGTGCGCACACCCGGCGGTGCTCCGCTGCGCCTCGTTCCAGGACCCAGCCCAGGACCCAGCTCTCCCAGCACGCATATGTGATTCTGTTACGAGGTACTATTGAGAGAGCAATGGGAAGAAAATTTTGTCGTCGCTACATCACGCACAAGTATTAATTTGCTTTCATGCACCTCTCACTCACTACATGCACTGGACTCTCGACGCGTAGCCGGCGAACGGTATATACTCTCACGACCGGAGCTGCCAACTCCCCGTCCACAGGCGGCTCACTGCAGCTGGCGGGGCTCCTCCCCAACGCCACGGAGGTGGACCCTTGAGTAAGGAGATGAGCTCGAACCGCTCGCTGTCGCTCAGCCCGACGCTGCGCGCGAGGCCACTCATCTCCTCTTCGGTCCACAGCTCGCGCATCGCTTGCACGTCGTCGGACGAGCAGCCGCCATTCTCCGGCGTATCCCACAGGTCGAACTGCGCTTCGAAGGCAGCGCCATGCTTCTCCAGCCAGCCGAGCGCCCGCAGCACCTCGCCAAGCGGCTGCGCCGCAGCAGCGGCGCCACCGCTCCGCTTCCTCTTCCCGCCCCTCTGCGCTGCTCGCGCTCGGCCCAAAGCCACCCTCGCGCCAGTGACGCTGCGAGCTCCGGGTGGCGGCGGGGGCGGCGGCAGCCCGGCGGTGCCGCCGCGCGCCTTGTCGCACTCGTGGCAGTACCAGTCGGTCTCGGGAACACGGCTCAGCGGCGGGTCGAGGCAAAAGATGTGGTATGGCGCGTCGCAGCCGCTCTGGCCGTCGCCGCACAGGATCATCTGCTCCTCCTTGTCGGGCCGGTCGCACACGCGGCAGCGCAAGTCGTCCTCCTCCTCCTTCGCCTCCGCCTCCTCCACGGCCGCCTCCGACGTGCTGTGCTGCGGGCAGAGGTACGAGCCAGCCTCCGCCTCCGCTTCAGTCTGGAAGCCAGCGCAAGCGAGGCACGCCCAGCGCGAGCAGCCGACGGCGTCACACCCAATGGACGCCGTCATCACCTCGCCTGCCTCGTCGTCGAGCACCTCGCCACACTCGCAGCAGTCGAAGCCCTTGGCGTGCGGCTGCGCCGTTGCCGGAGCCGCTACCGTGGCGCCGGAGGTCGGGCGAGGCCGCTTTTTCGAGCCTCGGTCGGACCGGCCGGCGGGCGCAGGGGCAAGAGAGGGAAGCATGGAGTTGCAAAGGCTGCACCGGGCCTGGTGTGGGTCGTCGCAGCGCAGCGTGCACCGCGGACACGAGCGGGAGCGGGAACTGTCGCTCGCTGCCTCAATGCCGGCGGGAGGCTGGTCGCTCGACGGCTGAACCAGCAGCACGGCGGGCGGCGGAGTTGGCACAGAGTGAGGCCGGGTGGTGGTGGTGGCGGTGGCGGCGGCGGCAGCGGACACCGGCGGGGCGGCGGGCAGCGGGGCAGCGCTGGGCTTCTTGAGCCTCTCCGGCGCAGCAGTAGGGACGACGTTTTTGCGCCGCTTGGTGGCTTGAACCGCCGCCGCCGCCGCCGCCGCCGTTGCCGTCGCCACCGCCGTCGCCCCTGCCCATGCTTGAGCCGCGTCAAGATCGTCTCGACGCTTTGTGAGGCGCTGAATGCGTGCCCGCGCTGCGGTCATGCCATCCTCGATCGACCTCAAGTCATCGCGCAAAACCTTCTCGTAGTCGTCGATCTGCTTGAGGCGATTGCCGTCGGCGGCGGTCTGCGCCGCGCTGCGCTTTTGCGGGAGCTTGCCAAGCAGCTTGATGTTCTTGGCCGCCTTCTTTTGTGCCTCAGCCAGCTTCGCTTGTGCCTCACTCAGCATCGCCTCCACCGCCTCCAACGACGCAGCGTCACCCGCACCGCCGTTGGCATCGCCCGCGCCGCTGCCGGCGTCCGTTGTGGCAGCGGGGAAAGAGGCGCGGGGCTCTGGGCTCCCCGCCGCGCCCTTGGACTCCCGCCTCTGCAGCCTTTGCTCAAACGGCTCGGGGGGCGGCGGGATGGAGGATTGGCCAGAGGAGGGAAGCAGACCTGGACGCGCTGCTGGACGTTCCGCCGCTGGCGCCGCCGGCAGCACCGAGGCTTTGGATGGGGGCGCAGATGCCGCCGCAGCGGCCGAGGCCGGTGCATGTGCCGGCGCCGCTGCCACCGGTGCTGCTGTCGGCGGCGGCGCAGTTGCCGCCCCCGCCGTGATGGGCGCTGACGCTCTCGCAAGGGCCGTGCCTTCCGCAGGGAGGGCCGCTGCGGCCGTGCGCCGCCTCTCGAGCACGCTGGCGGGGCAGCCGCCGACGGCGAGGCGGCGCGCCTTGATGGCCCGCGCATACTCCAGCGCGCCCTCCTCAGCGGTGTGGAACGCGCCAAGGGAGCAGCGTTGCTCACCGCTGCGCGTGCCGACAACCACGTGCACGCTGAAAGGCGGGTCTCCCGGCGCAGCCGCGCCGCTCCAAGTGACGCCGCGGAAGCCGGCACTGCCGCTTCCTCGGAGGAGGCAGAGCCCCTCCGCCTGTGCCGCGCCGTGCGGGTCACGGTCAGGAGAGGCAGCAGCAGGAAGCGGAGAAGAAGCCACAGCAGCGGGAGGAGGAGGCGCAGGAGGAGCAGGAGCAAGAGGACGAGCGGGAGCAGGAGCAGGAGCAGCGTAGGCGGCAGAGGCAGCGGCGGGTGAGGCAGCGGCGGGTGTGGTAGCGGCGGGTGAGGCAGCGGCGGAGGAAGCAGCGGCGGGTGAGGCAGCGGCGGGTGAGGCAGCGGCGGAGGAAGCAGCGGCGGAGGAAGCAGCGGCGGGTGAGGCAGCGGCGGGTGAGGCAGCGGCGGAGGAAGCAGCGGCGGGTGAGGCAGCGGCGGGTGAGGCAGCGGCGGGTGTGGCAGCGGCGGGTGAGGCAGCGGCGGGTGAGGCAGCGGCGGGTGAGGCAGCGGCGGAGGAAGCAGCGGCGGGTGTGGCAGCGGCGGGTGTGGCAGCAGCGGGTGAGGCAGCGGCGGGTGAGGCAGCGGCGGGTGAGGCAGCGGCGGAGGAAGCAGCGGCGGGTGTGGCAGCGGCGGGTGAGGCAGCAGCGGGTGAGGCAGCGGCGGGTGAGGCGGAGGCAGCGGCGGTGTGCATCGTAGGAAACGAAGGCAGCTTCGCCGCCGAAGCGTTGATCGCTCGCGCTTGATCCCACTCCTTCGGCACGTCAAAGAGGCTGTCGTCCCAAACCGCAGCGGTGGCGTCCGGCGGCGGCGGTTGGTGTGGCGGTGGCGGTGGTGGCGGCGGCGGCGGCGGCGGCGGTGGCGGTGGCGGCGGCGGCGGTGGTGGGCGGGGATGCAGATGAGGAGGCGGTGGCGGCAATGTGCTCCGGTCAATGACATCCAAGCTTGACCCGGCTCTGGCCTCATGTGAGCAGGCCGTTCTGGGCGCCATTGGCGGGGAGGAAGTCCACTAGTTTTTTTTTCTTAGCTCCTAGCTCGGCCGTCAGTCGGCCCGACCGATGTGTGTTTTTCCTGCTCCTTCTTCTTTCTTTCAGGCCCGCTCATCCCCTTCCCCCTCCTCGCCCTCCCAGCACTTCTCCTCCTCACGCTCCTCCTCCCCTCGCACTGAACCTCCTTCCTCCTCCCTCCTGCTTTCCTCCGGCGTGGCACCACCCAAGTCCAACGAACCTTGGGAGGAGGAGGGTGGGCGAGTCGACCGCGCGAACGTCCGCCTGACCTTGACGGTGATCGGCCTGTCGCTGGCTGGCACGGCGCCCAGATTGCGCAGCAAGTGGCGCATCTACAGCACAAGGCGCCCGTGTTAATCTGTGGGGACGAGGGAGACTCCCTCCGCGCGGCCGTCGGTGCCGAGGTCGTGCGGTGCTCCAAACCCGGGTAGAGTGCCACCGCCATGGTGTCGAAGAGCCTGTACGGATGGATCTGCAGCTCCCGCGGCGCCTGCTCGTACACCTGGTCAAAGGCGCATGCGCCCTTCGCCAGGTCTTGCTCGTGCGCCATGGCGATCGTGATGTCGAGATCCATGGCCTTTTTAATGGTGCTCGCCATGATCTCAAGTGGGTCGAGAAAGGCGCTCTCGTTGAGGTAGACCAAGAGGACTGTCTTTCCGCGCACAGGATTGCTGTGCGCGAGCACGGGCGCTGCCTCCCGAACAACCGCGCTGCCGGAAATGTCAGCGAATCTCAACTCCCTCGCCACAACCCGCGCGCCGGTATTTTCGTTAGAGAACAGGATGGTGACGGGCTCAACAAAGCAGTGCGGCCCGAGCTCACCAGCCACCTTGAGGCCGCCATCAAGGGCGCTGGGGCTTCGTTGGTAGGTCGGAAGGTGAGCCAACGCTCGCAAGACGAGCATCTTGAGCGAATCGAGCTGTCGGGAGAGCGGGGGCGCGTGAGAAGGGGCCCCGTCAAGTCTCAGGAACGGGCTGGCGGGAGGGCCGCCTGGAAATCGCCGATGCGTGCCCAGACAATCGGATCTTGCGCAACACCTTCTCGATCACCTCGTCGGGCCCGCCATACTCATGGTAGCCCGCCGGCGACTGATCGACGCAGTATTGGCGGCACTCACACATCATCTCATCGGCTGTAGCTCCTCCCTTCTGCTTATCCGTTTCAATCATTGCCACGATGTGCTTTTTCAGACCGAGAGATGCGTAGACCTCGCGCCTACACACCGAGGGGAGGGGGGGGGGGGCTGTTCGCCTGCTGGCAAGCCCAAGCGCAAAGGAGGGGGCAGCCGGGGCGAAGCCTGCAATTATTGCTCCTAAAATACCCCGCAGTGAGGAACATGACCACGATCGCCGCTTCCTCCACCGCCTTCTCCAGATCACTGATCTGTTTCAAATTCACGACGTCGAGCCAGACGCGCGCGCCCGGGAGAAGCAGCTGTAATTGCCGGACGAGCACGTGTGTCTACGAAAGGCGCGCTGCAGGAGGTGAGGGACAAGGCAGGGAGGGGAGAGCGGCTCGCCTAAGGCACCTGGTCTTGGCCAGTGCTCCACACGTGGGACATGAAGAAATGGAATCGCGTCCTCTTTGGTAGACTCAGCACAGGTGGGCGGTCGTTGGAGGCGAGCCTGATGATTGGCTGCTGAACGGCCATCCAGGCCTTGGAAGCGACCACGAGGCAAACGACGACGAGCATTGCAATCGTGAGAGCGACAACGAACACGCTGGTATTGTACGCGCTGTCGAGGCCAAAGAAAGTCGAGCACGTGTCACTCCACCGCCGCTCCTCGCACAACCGGAGTACCATGCCCCCCGTGAAGAAGCAGACGAGCAGTAGGTTGGCCGTGATGGCCAGGTTGTGGTCGGCGACGCCGTTGTACGGGCGGGCCACGGCGACCATGGCGAGGTAGAGGGCGCAGACGACGATGGCAATGACGAGACGCAGCAATCTGTTGGCCCCGTTCGCCGTGTCGATGAAGAGAACAACGGCTGTGAGGAAGATCTAGCGAGCACCAGGGGGGGAAGGGGGGGGATGAGCGCATGCTCCATCTGTCTACTTTCGGGCGACGGCACCTTTCGGTACATGTCGATAACCTCCCAGAAGAGGAGCGCGGGCTCGTAGTCTCGCCACAGAAACGATGACGCCCGCGCTAGCATGGTGATTCGCTTCCTCCGGAGCGCTGATCGGGTAGGGAGGAGCAGCATAAGGAACCCGATCGGGACGGCAACAGGCCAAATCACGAAGAGGGGCCAAAAGTAGGCTTGCAAGCCTGCCGACTCGTTCGACCAGCCCGGCCCGCTGTTGCAGGTGAGCGAGAGGTCGGCCAGCAAGAAACTGATCCGCCGACCGGTCTCGTCGTCGTAGGCAAAGGACTCGCACTGCCGCGCCTTGAAGATGGAGCGCGAGACAGAGGGCAACACCAAGTAAAAGACGA